TTCCCTTATCTGACATGTCCTTGCCCAAAAAATGTTTCCATTCTTTGAACTTTAAGGGCACCAAAGAATGGAATGTACAAAGAAAAAATTTTTTTAATTTATTTAGCATATGTCAAGTGTGGATGGACCTCACCACTTTTCATGTATGTTGCTCTCCACAGTCCTAGCAATGTGGTGGTGGTTGTTGTTAAGTGCCATCGAGTCAGTTCTGACCCATAGCGACCCTGAACAGGGTTTCCAAGGCTGTAAATCTTTATGGGAACAGAAAGCCTCATGTTTCTCCCATGGAGCAGCTAGTAATTTTGAACTGCTAACCTTGCGGTTCGCAGCCCAATTCGTAATCACTACACTACCAGAGCTCCCAGCAATAATCAACATTATTCACCAGGATCCTGAAACTGCTCACCACTATGTGGACTCTCCCATTCCAGGTCTTTGACCTCTAATTTTTGCTGCTATGGTTATCATTATAGCTCAACAAATTTGAAATCATGAGCTTGTTTCAATTTCACTTTGTCAGCCATTACTAAACATATTCAAGCTGGTTCAAAGTCCTGAGAGAGAGGTAAAAACAAAATCTGATACATTCACAAATGGACCAGAAATTATGTTCAGAAAATTTCCTGGAAAAAGACAGAATTTGAGCTAGGTATTAAAATAAAAGACTAGCGATGGAAGAGGATAGGAGAACAGCTAAAACCATGGACAAAGACAGAAACGATCAAAGTATCAACACATCCACAGAATGGAAAACCATCGAGTTTTTCAGTGGCATAAAAAATTTATCAGAATTGAATTTTGACAAATTCTCTGAGAGCATCTGTTAAAATGATGAGCATGAGTAACTGAATTAACAGTTTATACGTGCTGGGGGTGGTGAACAACAGATAAAGTAAATACAGTTGGTAGGATGTGATATGTTCAATTTCTTTATAAGTAATATTGGAAGTATGTATGGATGGAGCAAAAGTGTTTTATTGTTTTTAGTAATTACATTTTCAATGAAAATATTAGAAGAAAAACTTTTGTGAAATAGCAAATACATTAGAAGTATCCTTCTATAATCCACAATGTAATTCTTTTTTAAATCACTTGATGAAAAGCTGTTTTGTTCTGGCATTATTAATCACCCTACTGACCTCTGCTGGTCCAACAGGGGAGATGATACTGCAGACGTCTTCCTGTCTTTCTTGCTAGTTGAAGATGACTTAGGGCTTGATTTGCGCTTTGGAGATTTGCTAGACTTTCGTAGGGAAGGTGATGGAGATAATTTTGATCTAACCATTTCTGGTGAAACCTTTTGAAAAAATTAAGTAACTCAATTCAGAAAGTTTTCCAGTCATACTTGTTATAATTAGTAACAGAGATATATTTTCAAGTCGTACTAAAATTCAGCTTAAATATGAAATACTGCTATAGGCACCACCAACTGATGATATTTTGACTCCAAAACGCAAGCTTTTAACCAATATGTAACTTAACCACCCTAGCATAACACTAATAACATAAAGGCAATACACAATGACATTTTACATTTTCCTCTGAAAAAACCCACAAATTTTATGTAAATGATCAATACACATGAAATAGCTGACATATAGTAAATTGATCAATGTATCAATATCCTAATACAACTTAAAAAAACACCACAGCTAATGAGTTTTCTTTTCAGTATCTACAATGATACCAATCACTGGTATATATTTATTTTAATAACGTACCTCTTTTTTAATGATAATTTCTTCTCTTTTCTCCATGTTTTCTTGTTCAAGTTTCATTAATTCCCTCTGTATCTTCTGGCGTTTCATTTCCAATGACAATTCATGAACGTAATCATAATTAATATCTCCATTGTCAGAATCTTTAAAATAAAATTTTATTACCTGTCAG